CCCGCACCAGGCTGGCCGCCTGTCGCCGGCAGAGAGGACCTGCCCCGGCGCTGGCGATGCACGCAAGAGCCATCGCCCGTGCCCTCCGGCCGACCGCAGCATGGCGCGAGGGGGACGGCGTGCCGGTGCCATGCTGGTGCGGCACGGGTAGAGGTGGGGGGCCAGCGAGGGGCCGGTGAGGTGGCAAGGCGTGGGCGTTGCACAATGCCTGCACCTTATCTCTCCCACGCAAAGGCAGTTTGTATGTGTTGCGCAGCAGGCTGCGACCGCAGCCCGTGCCCAGCCGGAGATAAGATATCTGTCACCGGCGCTCGCTGCGCCACGCTGCCGGCAGCGAGCTCCTGCCGCCGCCAGCCCGAGTTCGCGTGATTTGTGAGCGGTTTGCTGGGTCTCTCTGCACCGAGCATCCCCTCTGAACATCCCCCGGTGCTTCCCCACTGGCTCAGGTAGCCCTTTTCCGGACCAACTCGAGCATCTCTTTCCAGACCCGTGATACACCCAAGCAATTAGGACGCCCAAGCTCGCAGCCGTCCCCCTCTCCCGTGCCAGAAGTCGTCCCAGCAAACCCCCGAGAAGCCAACGGGCCGGCCGAAGACGTGCAGTAAAATCTGGAAACCCATGAGCCGTCCCCAAAGCCTCGTGCTGCCACGCGTGCGCACTTCCAAGAAGACCGGCTGGGTTTTGGTTGGATTTTTTTTTAACGTGCTGTGGTTAAATCGAATTTCTTAGAGTCGCAGCCTTCACGGGTTTAGTCTGTGCACGCCGAGATTAGTACAACCTGTCCCTAAATACCATAATAAAAAACACGTAGTAAGCGCTTTGCCTTTATTTATGTCAGCGCTGGTTTCAAGGAGGATGAATCACACTTCCTCCTTAGCACTCCCTTCTAATATGATTTACTATAAATAATGCGCGGAGAAAAGAACGAGGGAAGGTGACAAAGGGCAAAGCGCACGGAGCCCAGCACCGTCCCCAAACTCGGCGGCAAGGGGATAAAAGCACTTTCAACAGTCGCGATGGAGCCGCAAACAGCGTGCACGGGTTGCAATTGGTGTAGCGTGTGGTGCCTAAACGCAAATCTGAATGAAAATTAAAGGACAGGCAATAGCTATGTATTTTTATATATGTATACGAATTGCGTTGTGCCTTTGAAGAAGTCCCTGGGGATGACTTAAAAATCGACACCGGTCCTCACCAATGGGAAAACCCATTCTGAGCCTTCGCAGAGCCCAAGCTTCGGGCGCGGGGACACCCGCCGCGCCAGGGGCTGGCTCTGCCCGCCACAGGGCAAGA